ATATATTCACAACTTTTAAGTGGTTGGTTCCATGATTTTTGAGATGATAAAAAGTTCCATCTAGGTAACTAATTTTATCTCATAAGCTCCAAGAATAGCTGGTTCACTTCTCTAATCAAGTGGTCAAGCCTGAAAGTTGATCTTTCAGAACCCCCCACAAGTGCTGGCTTGTCAAAATTTTGCCCTCAAAATGAAACTTATTCTTAAACTATAAATACTTCCAAACTAGTGATGACAGCGCGACGGGGTGGCAACATGCCCCGTTTGCTACCCTGTTTATTTTTATTATTATTATTATTATTTTTTCTTCACAGGGCGGGCGGCGCGGAGATTTTTGCCATCTCCAAACACACTTTAAATACAAAATAGATCTTTGACAATCTTAAATTTTCTCATTTTTCTATAATATTAAATTAACATTGCATCACTCTTATGAAATATAACTTCTTTAATATGTCATAGCTACTTCGAACTTGTGAACTCAAAATTATGTCAAGTCGTCACTTGTGAATGAATTCTAGATGACGAGTTTTGATTCGTAGAGTTAAAACAATATAATTAAAGTATTATAAAACCAAGGGAGGGTAATATAGTCATTTCGTATGTGGACATGGTGACCCTCGAGTGTGACGACTCCCGGGACCCACGCCGGGGTCGTTGAAGTTTGATCGCCGGCACCTGCCCCTCATTCAATGGAAACTAAAATAAAGGTGTTTGTATGCAATGAGCCAACCTCCCAATTTATTATCCATTTTCACATAATAATTCACGCCTAAATTTATATACTTATTTCTTATGGAGTAGGTCAACAATATAGTTCGTTCATACTTCTAGATTTTGAAGTAGTCACTCCCGACTATGCATCTAGCCATGGACGAATTCAGAATTATTTTTTTACTGGGGACGAGAAGAAAAATTGACTATTTTTAAATTGTGAAAAAAATCCAAAAAATTTTGAAAAATTAAATTTAACAAGGTCGAAATGAACGTTTTTTGAAAATTCAGTGGAGACGATCGACCCCACTCGTCCCTTAGTGGGTCCGTCCCTGTATCTAGGTGTTTAATGTGTTTTTATATGTTAAGTACTCAATCTCAAATCTCAATCCACGGTGATTGGTTGTGTAACATTTTGATTTAATTTTATTTTTTTTTAGTTTATTTTGAAATTTTGAGATTGTTTAATATGTACTTAATTCATAAATATTTGTTCTATCAAGAATTTATGGTGGTTGTGAAAATTTTGGTTCCACCACTGAGCTCGACCTGGTTTCTATGAATATGATTTAACGTGTATTGATTACCTTCTTGAAGTCAAGTATATTGCTACGTGTTCTATTAGTATTAGTTGCATGATGTAGCACTTAACTTCAAATGACACATTCAACGGGGTGACCCAGAGAGTTAATAAAATAATTTAAGCGAATTTTGTTATTTTTTTAATATTTCAACAAAATGAATCGAGTAAAAATTAACAAGAGCCCGTTTGACGTGACTTTTAAAAATCAAAAGTTACTTATGAAATTAAGTAACTATTTTTAAACATGTTTGAATAATATTTTAAAAGTGTTTTATCTTACTAAAATAGCTTTTAGAGAAAATTAGGGCCCGTTTGGTAGGGATTTTGAGAATTGATTTTTTGACCGTTAGAAGAAAAGTGGGGTCCACATGTGAAAGAAGAAGTCAAAAACTACGGCTTAAATAGTAAAATAACGATCAAAAAATTAATTTTTTGGGACAAAAAATCTCTACCAAACGGGACCTTAATCTATAAATTCATCAAATAATAATAATAATAATAATAATTCTATAAAAAAAAAATAGAAGTTAAAGCGAAAGAGAAAAATTCGGCTAAACCAACCCTACATTTCCTCTTCGTTTACTTCCTCGTCAAGGAAAAAAAGGGAAAAATTGAAGAAAGAGCTTAGTCAAAGATGGATGTCATAAACTAACTTCTACTTAAATTTTGGAATACCTATTTTCAGTGGCGGAGACATTTGAAGTTAATGAGACACAATTAAATTTATAAAAAAGTTACGAAAGAAATTCACGTTTTCAAATATTATATGTTTATATAGAACTAATTCAAAAATCGTACTTGATTTCTAGTATTATATAGAACTATATCAAAAATCAAAATCAAACTACATTTTAAATTGTTATGAAAAATCTGAATCCCAAACCGTAATTGAAGGCTGAAGCTAATATCACAAATTGATAGAAATTCACATAAGNAGTTGTTATTGAAAAAAATAATAATAAACAAAATCACGTCCAAACGACTTTTTAATTGACACAAACAGAGACGGATTTGGGGGACTGGACAGGGCTGTAGTCCTCCCCCGCCCCCCAACTCAGGTCTAAAGGTATTTTTCATTTTTTTTTTAAAAATCAGTTTTTTATGTGTAAAAAAAATTTTCCCGCTTAATAGCCCGGTTTGAAATTTTGTAGTCCGATCTTTGATCCAATTTTGGATCCATCCCTGGACACAAAAAGAAAATATTTGAGTCTTTTTTGTCTTACAGAGAATATATTGTTCAATTACACTAGTGAATCAACAAAAATTATAACAATTTAGATATTCATGTATAATAAATATTGTTCAAATTTAAAAAAAAATTATTAATTCAAAGTGAAGTAATTTAACTTTGTACAGTTTAATCTCAATAAATTAATACTAGGTAAATTAATAATTTAAATTAAATAATATTTATAGTATTATCGTATTGCAAGATAAAAATATGTAATGGGATTGTTGCTTGAAGTACATCTATGCACTAGATAGTCGTCTTCAAGTTCTTCTTTATCACTTTTCATGACATTTCTTAGTAATTTGCTTGTCATTCATTAACTTTGAAGTTGCCTTGTTTTCTCTCGGATAGTTCAAGAGGTACTCAACATTTATTGTATCAAAATGCTCCAACTCTGTTATTTGAACTTGCGATCGTTGAACACATCCATCATCTGAGAGTTGATCCAATTTCTCTGAAATCACGTTGTCCATAGACCTAACTTTAGTGTCGAAAATAATTTGCAATTGTACTTGCTTGAAGATCTATTGTTGTTTGAGCCGAGATTGCGAGATTCATTGCATTTAAAATATCTCTTTTATGTGGATTGGGATCCGAATTTCATAATCGTCCATAAAGATTTTGATGAAACTATCACTAGTAATGCATCATTTAAGCTCGTATGCCTGCATCAAAAGTATGAATCTTTGATGTTTTATTGGATGGCAAGAAAAATGATTAATAATTTTTGGGACTTCAATAATTTTTGGATGAGCGGAACAATTATCAACAAACAAAAGAACTTTTCTTCCATCCATTTTCCATCAAGTTGTCGAACATATTTTTGGAATAAAATTCCAATCATCCATGCTCGTTTGTTGGCATGATACTCGCAGTTCATACTGCTAAGTTCACATTCTTGAAACACCATGATTTACAAAATAGAGGTTCTTATTTGCAGAAATCTTTCCCGGAATGGAAAGTCTGGGAAACCCTCTAATGGTTTCTGCTAGACCAACATATTTCCCTGGAGAACCGGTAAATACTTCTGCTACAAAACAAGGTTGTGATAAGAACTATAAAAGTAATTTTTTCGGAACCATCCTTGTAAAGCAAATAACAATTGTAAGTATTTCTTTGTCTTGTTTCTTACCTTCTAGTTAGTTTGTC